AGAAGTCAAGAGAACTTCCAAAAACATTCTGCGACTTGATATTCCCGACAAAGCACAAATTCACGTTAGATGTAGCGTGAGAATACCTCAAAAGTTAGGTCCAGGCCTAATTACCATAAGGTTACCATGCAAATTGTTTCATATGTTGAAAAGACACAAACCAGCAGAGGAGTTACAGATCATGCAGCAAGCAAGGAACAAGAACAGACCAACCACTCAGACCAAGATATACCACTGATGAGCACAACAGGAAGAGACTGGAGACCGCAATCAAACAGGCGAGCGAACCGTATGACTCACCCGACCTGCTTCACAGCTCGCGTCGAATATTGCGCACAGAAGGCTCCTAGGAGAGACATCTGCGAGGTCGACGGAGCCTACCGGTTTTTTAATACTTTTTTCGCCCGCAGACCTGACTGGGTGCTCGTCAAAGAGATAACAGGATTGGATAGGAAATACTCCGGTCAAGCTCATCAAGTTAGTGCTTGAATAGAGAGCACAAAAAATCCAGTTACAACACATGATGATCATTACATCACCATTGACATAACGCAACAAATGGGTAAATAGAAGTGCGAGAAAGATCATAATAGATATCCATTGATTCACTTCCTCGGTCCTCCGACATTAACAAACGAGGCAGCACGGCCTAAAGATACGACAAACTGCCGAACTAGGACACAATAACAAGCTCTAAACTAGTTAACATTCATATTACGAGTAACATCTCATATAGTATCTCCATTATAATCTAACATACACCTATCTCCCCACTGCACTTTCAAGATCTAACTCCAAACTTAGTGCAATCCGTTAGGCCAGTGATCGCAGCTTCATCTCATATGCTTCATGACACAGAATGAGACGAAGTGAGACGTATGACCCTACAACATACTATCTCACATCAGGTTGACACAACCTTTCCAAGACGTTCGGAGGTACAATTAAACAGTAAGAAGCAAGAATACTAGGGTGAGCCCTCTTGAACATCCTTAGGAAATAATAAATACGGACTGCCAAGGAGAAAGCAAACACACTTTAATAACTAATATCAAATCCGAATCTTTACTGAGAGGAAACTTTAAGTAGCGCATGCCTTAGAAGAGGCTAAAAAAAAAAGGCTCCAAAAACACCAGAAAGATGCCAGACGATAACCACGTCACGGAGGAAGAAGTGCGTACGGAAAACTTCTTTCAAGACATAGAAGCAGACAAGGTTTCAGTCCAGTAGTCAGATTCCAGCAAGAATAATGAAAAATTGCAGCTCCTGTCCCTGTTCCCTATCCTTTCATTCATCTTACCAACAACTCCGCATTACTGGACAGTTCCCAAAAGATTGGAACGGCTAATCATCACCACCAGTTTTAAGAAGAGCAATAAAGAGCGTCCAGAACTATCGTCTTGTTTGCTTACATCAATATCTAGCAAGATATTTGAACATATCAAAATAGCCAAGTCAGAATATGGACTCGAAGGAAAAGAATGTTATAATGAAAACCAGCATGGCTTCCGTAGTAATCCGATCCTGTGTAGAGCCAAGCTGCTGATAACAACCTCAGGACCTTGCAACTTAGATAACAATAGGAGGCAGACGGATGTAATAATACTAGGACTTCAGTAAAAGCCTTCGACAAGGTCCCACACCAACGCCTTCTTTCAGTCAAGCTTGCACATTAGCATTACAGGTATCCGTGGTGGAAAGCTTTTAGCCATGGATAGCAGCTTTTTCTCACCAGACGTACCCAGCGTGATAGTGTAGAAGGAGAACTTCTCGGCACTGCGACTGCTGTTACTTTCAGAAGTTCCACAAGCGAACGGGGGATACTAGAACCATCCGTTCCTCCTCGTTCATTAACCGACTTGCCAGACAACCATGCTTCCCAAACTCCGATTATTCGCAGATGATTGTCTGTTGTACGCGAGATTAGCACATCAGCAAGACCAGGAAGCGCTTTCAAGACGATCTGACACAGTGGTACAATGAGACATCGCACATAGCCAGATAGACAGTTTAACGCAAGCCAAGTGCTACATCATGAATATCTCCTCTTTCTGCGCAAAAAACATCATAGGCTTACATTCTACCATATTCAGCGGACATCTTCATTGCAGTATTGTTCACATCAACCCGTATCGTGGAAGCTTCACCTAGACAGTGCCTCAGCGTCGGAACCGTCCACATTGACAACATATGTGTGAGGCCAACACTATCTTTTAGGCCCGAAATCTGGGCCCTGCCAGCATCAGCGCATTAAGGAAGAGCGTACAAACACTCTTGTACTACCAAGCCTGGATTTACTACTCATGAGTGTGGAGACTCACACCAAGAGCAAATATAAACTTAAGCTAGAATGATACAAAACAATCTGCCCAAGAATCTTGCCTGTTGCACAAATTTAAGAAAACCATCACCAAACTTTCTACACAAAGGTTCACGCAAACGATTTTTCCCACACAAAGGACAAACGGATCACAAAGCATCTGACCATGAGAAAGAATACTGCGTACATAACAATAGAAATACAGCATAAAATACAACATATCTCTATTTCTATCTATTTATCTATCAATCTATTTATCTATCTATCTATCTATCTATACTATCTATCTATCATTATCTATCTATCTATCTATCTATCTATCTATCTATCTATCTATCTATCTATCTAATCTATCTACTCTATCTATCTATACTATCTATCTATTCTATCTATCTAGCTATCTATCTATACTATCTATCATATCATATTCTATCTAGCTATCTATCCATCCATCCATCCATCCATTTCCATCCATCCATCCATCCATCCAATACCATCTATCTGAATCTATCTATCTATCTATCCATCCATCCATCATCCATCCATCCATCCATCCATCCATCCACTCCATCCATCCATTACATCCATCCATCCATCCATCCATCCATCCATCCATCCATTCCATCCATCCATCCATCCATCAATCATCTATCATCTATCATATCTATCTATCTCCATTGATTTTCTGCGTAGTCGCTTCACCAACCGAACCGTTCCCCTTTACGAATGACGGGCAACATGCCGCCCTGCATGGCAGAAGGACCGAATTCGATCGTCCGGCGCGACAGAAAAAACATTGTTTGTTTAAGAAGAATGCCGATCGACCGACGGAGAGATTTGCGACTGCTTTCGGGACGAAAACACAAAAAGTTCGCCTGTGTGCATGTTTTCAGACGACCGCCGCTGACGACTGAACGACGATGATGACGACATGGCGAGGATTATGGTGATAGCGATGATGTTGACGATGATCATGACCGTCGACGACAACGATGGCAATTGACAATGACAGGTGACGATGGACGACACACATTTCACGTCTAAATCACTGGGAGAGGCAGTCGAGAGTGGCGTGTGCTGATGCGTGCAAATCTATCTAGGTTGGCATTAGCCAGTAACAGGGAACGGCAGGCCTAATCAGTCCGCTGATACACGCACGCACGCACGCACGCACGCAAGCACGCACGCATGCGCCACACAATACATACACACACGCACGCACGTTTGTGAGTACTGTGTTTTAGCCACGCAGATTATTTAGGTAAAAATTCTCATTCAGAGACGACGGCGAAGGGACAACAGAAGACATTAGGTGCATACTTTTAAGAGCACCACATAAATTCAACGGGACAGAACGCATTCAAGAAACGCGTACAAAGCAACAATTAGCCTCTACGTCGTTGCGACGCGGTTGTATCAACGGCCATCAGTTCGTAGCCTGCCACCTTCGGACATTAATCGCCAGCCGGGTCGGTCTACACCCACTAGTCTCGCGAACATAAATTTGGAAGGGGTTTCCTTTTTTTTTAATTTTCTAGGTCAGCGACGTACGCGCGTAACGGTTTTTAAAAAGTGATGCGCGGTTTTGTCTAGAACGGGAAGAGCGCCGATACTTAATCAGTCTTTATCGTTATGTAGACATTCAACCAACTGCTGGACATTGCTCATTCTATTAGCTATATAATAATCATCATTTGAAGTATTTTCACGTTTATACAGACTATGTTCGTTACTACTGTCTAACAGAGCCGAATATAAATCATACCAAATTCCATTTGCTACACATGCAAATGACGACTGGGCGTCAGAGCTCGCCCTGTTTAAATATTTATCAGGCCGAGCTTTGTCCACGAGAGCACACAGATGCACGCAGCCACGCACGCAGCGCAGTAACTCATCTCTGTCCTCGCGCGGACGCTATTTCATCAGCACAAGCAGCACACCACACGCACTAGCGCCTGACACAATGCACGGCAGACACGCACCACTACGACGAGCAAACACTGGCGGCGTGCGCGCGCGCGCGACAGCCCAGCAGAGCGCCCTACGCGATCATACAGCAGCAGCCACGCCCACCGTATCGCACGCGAGACGCAACTCAGACGAGCATCACACACAGCAAACGACGCACGCACCACCCACATTCGCAAGAATACGCGTCTACTTCACCGCACAGACCAACGCCCTACGCTTAACGTCATTTCTCATGTTAAGTACTGCTCTAGATCACTGTTCTCAATAGCTCTCCAGTGGACAGAGGACTTGCATTGT